TCAAGGGTTCAGGGGGAGGGGAGAGGGAGGCGGGGTAATGAGGAGCTGACACCAAGGGCTCAAGTGGAAAGCGGGTGTTGTGAGACTGATGAAGTCAACATATGTACTAGTGTGCTGGACACAAATGATGTATGTACGCATTGTGATGAGTTGTATGAGCCCCTAATAAAATGATTATTTAAAAAAAGACCATATGAAGTTCATATTCTTTAACCTATAAATTCCACCTCTGGGCGATTATCCTAAAAACTAAAAATGTGCAAGATTTCTTTACTTAGATGCTTATCAGTTTACAATATGAAAAATTAGGGGGAAAGTTCAAATGTTCACTACCCAATAGAATTCTACACATCTATTCCAAAAATATCATAGAAAATTATTTAGTGGTACTGAAAAATGGGTATAATATATAAAGTGAAAAAGGTTAACAATTTGTACATAATGGCCTCACTTTGGTAAAAATAGCATTTTAAACTATAAGTGTTCTTCATAGCAGAGAAGAAAAAAAGACTAAACAACAAAATATTAATAATGATTGTTTCTAAGTATTGTAACTTGGGGGTGTTTTTAATTTTCCTTTTTGTTAGCTAATTTGGTTGAGATAGGTATCACTTTGTTAGAAGAAGAAAGATAATGAATTTTAAAAAAATTAATACCTGCAACAATCTATTAATATGTGCTCCTCTCAGTTAATCAGAAAAGCTAAAATATTTTTCTTTATTTTATGTCTTGACTATTTAAAATAATCTAATCAAAGCCTTACCAAAATTTTATATCATGGATTCTGTATATATAGTATATTAGGGGTTGTATAGAACCACATTATTTTTTACCACAAACCAGAATCTTCTGGATTTAAGTTTTTAAGTCTTCCGCAAGTTCTTTTTGGAAGAGCTGAAATCTATTTCTTCTCCAGGTGGCAACATTGTTTTGTTTTCCAATTACCCCAGGGCTCACTAGAAAACACAACAGCTCTTAATTCACTTTTGTACAGGAAGTATACCTACAATAGAGTGACTAGTTTGAGAGTTCCGGAAAAGTTAAATACATTGATGCAATCTGCCTGATCTTCATATGAAACAAAACTGTATATTCCATCTAGACTAATGGTGCCTTTAATTATATACCTAGTTAATGAAAAGACCCACTCAGCATTTAAGAAGATTTCTTAAGCATTATTGTGTAGTTTTTGTTTAAACCAATACAAGCGGCAATGCTATTCATGATTCAGATAATTTAGTCTTGTTGGGGAGATGCAATAACTGATAAACACCAAAGTAGAATGAATTAAGCAGAATGCATTAGGGCAGGGTGCGGTGGGAGGTAAAGGGGCTTCAAAAGGTTTGGAGGTGGGGGGGAAAGGGAATGAAAAGGTAGTGATTTTTTCCATGAGTATTTTGAAGCCCCATAACATAAATGAGATACAAAAATGATCTAAAAACACAGAAACAGTCCCTCACAGAAGGGCCATGTGGAGGGGATGTTGAACCCAGGGGGTGGGGAGGCACTGATAAGGCACATCACGATCCTCTGATTATGTAACATTTCCTCCCCCTGCTATTAAGGTTTATGTCTCACCTCATTAATATTGCTAGACTTACATATGTTCATTTGTATAATTAAGCTCGGTTGATGCAGAAAAGCCAGTATGGCTAATCCTTCAGAAACAGAAACGGGAGTAAGGATTCCCTGAGGATACTGGAGTAGGGCAAAAGGGGTTGCTGGTAGCAATGATGACTGTATAACCCCACTTGAGGGGAGCGAATAACAGAATTGTAGATGAATGGATATATTAGATGGGGTATATATATTTTATGTATATATAATAAAATAATAGTTCTAACAATATATAACGATAATAACAAGGATTCCTGGGGTGAAAGGGAGGGAGGGGATAAAGGAGAGATGATATCCAAGAGCTCAAGAAGGAAGAGATTGTTTTGAAACTGACTGTAGTAGCAATTGTATAATTATCTATTTGATCTATTTAATTATGGAATGTTATGATATTTGTAAGAACTCCAATAATAATAATAATAATAATAATGTTTTTTAAAATAAAAACACACAGAAAAGAAAATTACTATACTTTTAAATTGGACTCTGGGGAATTTCTCATAGAGAACATGTGTTTGAGCTAAGTCTTTGAAGGATGTATAACATTTTAATGGACATTGACCTAACGGGAGGATATTCAAGGCAGAAGAAACAATGTGACCTAAATAAGAGGGGCAGAAAGGACATCAGGGATGAGTAACTAATTGGGTGGAAAGAAAAGGTATAGTAAAATGAGATACTAATGTTCCAAAGTAGGTAGAGGCTCTTGGTTTTCATGCTCTGGTGTCTGGGCAATCTTCTGTTTACAATGGAGAACCACTAAAGATTCTTGAGGCGGATATCAGAACATCATCAGAACTGTGGGATTTGGATATTACTTTGCTACCAGCTCGACCACTTACTCTGGAATTCACTAAGATCTTGGTGTCTCAGTTCCCCTCATCTGCAGAATAGTGTTCAATAGGTCCTAAAATGTCTTCTAGCACTAAGATTCTATACATTGCATGAAAGGTCTTAAGATGGTTATTTTCTACCACTCAGTTAACAACTTTTATTATTAAATACTAGTCTAGAGTCTGGTAAGAAGTGACACACACATTCTTCTTACAAAGAATAAAAAGCAATACAAACATAAAATAAGTGGACAAAACAGCTACATAACTACTATTTTAAGAGCTCGAAAGAGCTTGAAACCCACAAAAGGAGAGACTTCCTCAGAGAATAGTGCTAGAGAAATTAAAAACAATTTTAAAGCGAGAGTTCTAAGAACAGTTGCAGAGAAACAAGTAATCTAGCTCATGAACAAAGGCAATGCCACAGGAAAGTCTTTTTTGTTGTTTACTTTTTATTATGAATTAGGTGAAGGTTAGAGAGCAGATCAATTTCCCATTCAACAACATAAACACATTTTGTTTCATGTCATTAATTATAATACCCACAATGTAACACCACTTAGCCCACTTCCTCCCTGTTTCCAGTTTCCATTCCTTTTTTGCAACCCTTCTGAATGTTGTCTTTAAGTAAATACCACCCTTTGATCTCAACTCGTTGATTATTCTAAGGTGTTGAGATCACCCCAGAGTTATTTCTCCCCTAATTAACTTGTCTACTGTTTGCCTGAAAACGGAGTCATGCACTGAGTGCAGTTCCAGGCCTGAGAGATGTTGTTGTTGTTGTTGTTGTTGTTGTTGTTGTTGTTGGGTGCCATCGAGTCCATTCCAACCCATAGTGACCTCACGCACAACAGAACCAAACACTGCCCAGTCTGCGCCTTCGTCACAATTGTTCCTATGCTGGAGCCCGTTACTGCAGCCACTGTGTCCATCCATCTCCTTGAGGGTCTTCTCCAGGGACTGGTCTTTCCTGACAACATGTCCAAAGTACATGAGATGAAGTCTTGCTATCCTTGCCTCTAAGGGGAACCCTGGTTATACTTCTTCCAAGACAGATCGGATTGTCCTTTTAGCAGTCCATGGTACTTTCAATATTCTTCTCCAGCACCACACTTCAAACTCATTGATTCTTCTTCAGTCTTCTTTATTCAATGCCCAACTTTCACGTGTATATAAGGGAATTGAAAAGATCCTAACTTGGGTGAGATGCACCTTAATCCTCAAAGTAATATCCTTGCTTTTCAATACAAAAGGTCTTGTGCAGTAAATTCACCTAATGCAACTCTTCTTTTGATCGCTTGACTGCTACTTCCATGAGCAGTGGTTTTGGATCCAAGAAAGACTAAATCCTGAACAGCTTCAACTTTTCTCCATTATCATATTACTTGTTGGTCCAGTTGTGGGGATTTTGGTCTTCTTGACATTGGGTTGTAATCCATGCTGAAGACAGCAATCCTTGATCTTCATCAGCAACGACTTCCAGCCCTCCTCACTTTCAGCAAGCAAAGTTGTGTCATCTGCATATCGCAGGTTAATAAGCCTTTCTCTGATGATTTGCTCAGCATATAGATTGAATATGTATAGTGAAAGGATACAACCTTGGTTTCTCCCACTCTATCCAGGACTTTTAAATGTGACCCCTTTCAGAACAACTGGTAGTGCTAATGCAGTACCATCTAGTTCCTCTGGTTTCAGGGTCTTGGCTACTGATATTCACATGGCCCACTTGTCTTTTGGACTAATTGTTTTCATGCATCTTCAATTTTCATCCTTATTCTTTCCTCCAGATGAAGAGAGAGCAACCATTACACCTTAGATGGGGCCCCACAAGCTTTTAAGATCTATATCCCAAGTAGGATATAGAACGTTGTCTTCTGTAAACTATTTTATGCCAATTGACCTCGGTGTCTTCAGAGACTAGTCCTGAACCCCTGGGCCCATTATCCAAATAATGTCTTAAGAAGTTTTCTTAACTTTGCCCCCTGTATGCTCCACTACATTCATGAATATATTTGCAGCAAAGAGGAATACCCATATACAGTGTTAAGCCTATGTGTGGGTATATTTGCACTCTCCCTTCCACACCCATCCGGCATGTGTGTCTATACATGAATCTACTCATAGAGCACTGCTATTGAAGGATTGTGTATGCAACAGTACTTACCTCTGTTGCTTTTTTTACTCCTCCTCCCTGGGAAAGTTTTGGGGTAAGTGCTCAATTATTATCGGAAGGGTTAAAATATAATTATCCCAATCTAAGATAGTTCTGCCCTCTCCTCACTTTGCCTGAATTGGGTCGTTTTATTTCTTTAAATTCCAGTTTTTAAGAGTCTTTCATTAAGATGTTTTAAAATTAAAACATTTTAATTTTATTTTTTGGCTTGAAAGAAATATGACAGTCAAAGAAGACACAGACATTAGAGGAATCATATGTTACTTTTCAATATGCGAAAAGATTTCTGCCAAAAGCTGCCCCAAGGTGATCTCAAGAGTCTGTGTTAACTCTGGTTCTGGGAACTGCCTTTACTTGTTATATTCTTTTTTTAATTGTTATATTCTTAAAAAAGCTTGGGTCATGAAGAGTTTGCCTAGGTTGGGGGCAGTGAACTCCTTAATGATCTGCCAGTGTTAACCTGGCTTTCAATAAGCAGCAAGACCATCCTGGCTGTGCCCTGAGGGGGCTTGAAGAGTTTGGACAGGTCCTCCTTAGGGAGCCGGGCTCTGGATGCTGGGACTGTGTTTCTGCAGCCTCCGAGTGTTCCTCATGTACATGTTATATTTAACTATATCTTGGCTCATTTCAACCACTCTGTCCGTCAGCAACTGTACATTCTTCTCCAAATGACTGTTGCTCACAAGGTTGAGCAATTCGTGTTTATCCACAATAGCTGGCTTCTTCTCAAGTTCCCACATTAGGACGTTAATCAGATGTGAGTTTTATTATGATCAGCGAGTCTTCAAACATGTGCTCAAAGGGTGATAGTTGCCTTTTTCAATACTTCAGGAGAAAATCATTTTCTCTACAAACTTCCACAAGTTTAGGAGTCAGTCTGTATGTCTTCGGTGAGAGAGATCCTCAAAAGCACGCTGGTAACTGAACTGCGAGTCCAGGATCGCCGGGGTGATACACGATCCATCGAATGTGGGAGATGATCAATGTTCACATGATGAAAGCATCTCATCATTTCCATCTGATACTGGACTGCATCAAAATCAGCATCCTCCTCCTATGCTGGGGGCAAGGAGGACAGTTGGCAATTTCAAGATGATCTTCTGCAACCAGGCCCAAAGCATTTCTTGACAACTTCAGTTCCTTGTCCTTCCTCTTGATAGTGCTTGATTATTTTTAATACCACCAGGCTACTGATCTGTACTTGCTTCATGGCCAAGTCTCCGGAGCCACTTTTGCCTCTGCCTTTCCCTGCAGTGTTGGTGGTGGAAGTGGAGGAGGTGGCTGCTGGGCCAGTGCTGGGACTAGACGCTGTCTTTCCAGGTCAAGATTTTTAAAAGTTATAATCATAGCAACAGCAACAACTACTATCCTACTCGGAGCCCTTGTGCTAAGTATTTTATATGCTAAGGAGCCATGGTGATGTAGTAGTTGTTACAGGTTGGGTTGCTAACTACAAGGTCAGCAGTTCAAAACCACCAGCTGCTCTGCAGGAGAAAGATGTGCTTTCTACTCCTGTGAAGAGTTAGTCTCAGAAACTCAGGGAGGCAGTTTTACCCTGGGTCACTATGAGTCAGCATCAATGGCAGTGAGTCGAGTTAGTTAATGTTATTTAACCCACACAATAGCTCTAAGAGGAGGCTGGTGATGCCGTCAGCCATACTGTACAAATGAGGAATCTTGATACTGAGGACAACTGACTATAAAAGACCACCGACTGCCAGCTACAGAGCAAGAACATGAAGTCCATGATTTCAATTACCGTGCCTTCTTGTCTACTCATGTCTCATATGCCCTTTCAATGTGGCAGTTAGCTAAGGGTAAAGAGAAATAAGATACAGGAACTTTGGTGTCCCACTAGAGCTTGTTCTTGCTAAACAGCCCTGAGTAGGCCAAGGAGAACTTGAGAGACACTGTATTCCTGGAGAGAGTAGTATTCCAAGATCAAAAGTGAGACACACTAAGAGAGACAGCTTCTTAAATAATATTAATCATAAAAATGATTTTAGTAGTAGTAACCATAGCAGCAGGGTCAGCAATAGCCAGGGATATTTTTAGGTACACTGCACGAAACATTTAAAACAGATTATTTCATTTATTCTTCACAATGTCCTTTGGATGTTGGTACTACTGTTTTCATCCCTGTGTTACAAAAGAGAAATATACACTTGAAATTTAACAGGGTATTCAAGTAGTAAAGATATAAATAGTATTTATACTTTAGCTGTCTGATTCAGAACACCCATTTCTAACTCATATATTACAAACTATAGGTGATCTTAAGTGGTAATAGTTCTACCATTACTGTTACCAATAATAGCTTCAGTATTCATGTATATTAAGTGGTATGCTGGAGCAAGCTGATTCCAGGAATGTTTTTCTAGCAGGTTGTTAAAGCATTTGTAGCTTGAAAATTGGTCACAATTAAATAACTACACCATAAAAATCAGCAAATGATACAAATCAGAACTTGGTTTCATTTTGTTTTGGCCTTTTCAGAGCATTGCACATCACTGTTAAAGTAATTCTCACATGTACTATTTTGAGCACTTTATATATATTAATTCATGCAATACAATCATCCTGTTAGATAGTAACTATTATTAACCTCAGTTTAAAGACCAGGAAAACCAAGGGATACAAAAGTAATTCCTCTGTCACGGAGCTCATTTCAGCTACTTATGCCTGACACGGTCATTTACTGCCTTGTTAGTGATAATGCAGTAAGACCACATTCTGAGTGGAAAGAAGGGAAAGGAAGGCAGCAAGGTCAGAGGCACTTCCTGAAAGAACTCTGTTTTCCTCATGCCGCCTGCCCCAATCCAGAGCCCGTGATAATTTTCTGAAATCATCAAACATCAATTAAACCAGCGGTTCTCAACCTGTTCACAGGGGTTGCCTAAAACCACCAGAAAACACATATTTCCCATGGTCTTAGGAACCCAGACACCGCTCCTCTACCTGTCTCCAGGCGGGTCTGCCCACGTGCAGCTATGTTGATCTGGTGAGAAAGGAGCTTTCTCAACCTTTGTGCTGCCATTGGCTTTTTGCACAGACTGCCGCAAAATGCAGCTGTGTAGTTTACTGTTGCTATACTAAGACTGTGACCTATGCTACACCATGCCTCAGGACAAAATATTACTTATTTGTAATTAGAAATAAATATTTCCCAATATATAATTACATATTGTTTTTGTGATGAATCACTATGCTTTAATTATGCTAAATCTGTAACAATGAAAATACATCCTGCATATCAGATATTTATATTACAATTCATAACAGTTGCAAAATTACAGTTATGAAGTAGCAACGAAAATAATTTCATGGTTGGGGGTCACCACAACATGAGGAACTGTATTAAAGGGTCACGGCAGTAGGAAGGTTGAGAACCACTGGTCTAAACATATTTTCTTTAGGGACTTTGCCACATTGCCCTGACGTTTTCACGGGTTGTAGGTTGTTTCTTACTAAAGTGAATCCAGAAGTCTAGCTATTGGTAAAAGTGGGCGGGTGTGTTGGCTGAGACGGGGTGAATGAATTCACCATGAAAACAATGCTTAAAGAAAGGAAAGTCTTCGTAGCCAGGGTCATTTGCATCTTGCCCTAAACTGACATGCTTCCCTTTTTTCTCAAATAATCTTTCCTGTCATACAGAAGTAAATGTTTATGAAGTATTTTTCAGAAATCAGTAAATTTTTAATCTCCCCATTTAAAAAAAAAAGGAAAGAAACTTACATCATCTAATTCTTTCTCCACTTGGATTTTTCTCTTCTGGAATATCCTTATTGTTTTCAGTTCTGTATGAATCATGCCAATTTCTTTGGCTTTTTTATGGAACTGTCCCTCCAGCTCACTTATTTGCACAGTGTACTTCTGTTCCTAGATGTATAAATCAGGAAATAAAAGCATTAAGAAAAAGGGCCGAGGTCCCATGGAGTCATGTTCTATTGGAAGTCTGGAGTCAGGAAGACTTAATAAAAGGTGGGGAGGGAGCAGATTTTTTCAAATTTATTTTTCTAAAAGTAATATAAACCTTTTAAAGAAAACTATAGAAAAATGCAAAAGGAAATGTAAAAGTATCCATGCATAACGTTATCAAGCAAAGACAAGTATATATACATACAGACCAAAAGGTATATTTCTCCCATATTATAATAAAAAATAATAATATGAGTTGTTTCCTACATTTTATCTAACATGCTTATAGTAAACATATCCCTCTGCCATGAAAAATTATTTTAAAACGTTTTATATGACTGCCAACCAGTCTTAGTGGTTTGTCTCTGTTGTGAGGTTGTTAAGGGCCATCGAGTTGGCTCCAACTCACAGTGACCCGCACGGTCCTCAGCCATCTTCACAATGCCGGAGCCCCCAGGAAACGAAGACCCCGAGAGCTTTAGTCCATCGGTCACTCTGGTTGACTCTACGTTGGGAAAGCAGCACTTCCTCAGTCATATTTTGAGTGCCGTCTAACCTCAAGGGCTCATCTTCTGGCACTATGTCTAAAAATGTTCTGCTTTGATTCATGAGTTTTCAGGGTCTGAAAATAGTCTGGGCTATCCAGAAGGTTTGCAGCGGCTAATTCCTCATGAGTGAACTCCCTATTCCCTTCCTAGTCTGCTCTTAGTTTGGGCGCTCTCTGAAACCTGTTTACTTTGGATAACCCTGCTGGTATTTGAAATACCAGAGACATAGTTTCCATTATCACAGTAACACACAAACCACACGAGTAGACTAAGGTGCCTGGGGGGTACCTTTAAGACTCAAACTTAGTAGAGGGTGTGACTTAAGACATCATCCTTGGATGATTTTATATATCACTGTACAATTCTAGCACACATCATATTACCTGGAAAGCCAGACCTCTATTTCCTCATTGAGCTTAGGTGGAAGCAAGAAGACCTGCCGTGACTTTTAGACATTTCTGACTTCTGGTTCTGGACCCTGCATTTAGCTCACCTCTGTCTGACCTTAAAAAACTATGACTAAATGGCACCCACTACCAAGGGAGACATTTCCTCAATTGTCAGGGGAGCCAGCTGCTAACAAATCATCATGGGTCTGGTAGGTGCAATTGTACAGTGACAATAAGTAAAGATTATAGTAAAGTCATAGAGAATAAGAGAGATAGAAGAGAGATTGAAATAATGGAGTCAGACACATTTCATAGTAGCATGCTCACCTCAGCCCTGTGTGGTGGTCCACCTCAGGATGTAGAAGGTGGAAATTGCAGGAGAGAGAGTGATTTATTGCTAACCAAGGTTTATCTATCTTTGGGGGTCTGCATGCCTCCTAATTACAGGTAAAGACATATGTCACAGGAAGGGGTTGTAAAATAGGCAATATAAGCAATAGGAGGGGGATATATACAATGGGCATAAGAGTAACAGGAAGGGGATGATGTAGGAGTGTACACAAGATAAGAGGGGGAGGACTAAAGGTGTACATGTGACCCTAGATTCATGATGGTGGCCTAATGTGGGTCACCCTTGAGTGGGCTTGACCTCCCTGGGTTCTCCTTCAGGAAAACAATCTACTACTATCCTTATCAGAAGGGAGTGGGCCCTACTTAGGGTAGGAGGATTATACAGGCTGATTGCTCTAGATGGCTGATAACCCTTAGGGAGAATAACCTCTGACCTACTTTTGTTGACCTCCAAGTGGATAGTCATTTACCATGCATAGCAAGTAGCTAAGTTTGGCATATATTTGGGGGAGACAACTTGGAAGCAATCGTTCTGTTTCCCACACTCAATGTCTCGTGAGTGTCTGAGGGAAATTGCAGAGAATCACAGAACCCAGGGACATGCGGGAATATACTCATGTAGAAGCTGAGCTTTTCAGCACATTTTTATGGTAAAATTAGGGGTCTTGGCTCATATTCAGGTCAGCTTATACTCAAGTATATACGGGTACTCAGGGAAGAATGGTGTGTGTGGGGAAATAAAGCAGAATAACATTTTGAAAGAGGTAAGACATTTAGGACATCTTTGATCTCCAACTCCTTGGGACTAGTCTGGTATTAATTTTAAAAGTAATGTTAACCACAGCTCAAGATGGGGCAATGACATCTTTTTATTTTTTTAAATCATTTTATTGAGGGTGCTTACATCTCTTATCACAATCCATACATCCATCCATCGTGTCAAGCACATTTGTACATACGTTGCCATCATTATTTTCAAAGCATTTTCTCTCTAGTTGAGCCCTTGATATCAGCTCATTTCCCCCCTCCCCCTCTCTCATGAACACTTGATAATTTACAAATTTATAATCCCCGCCCCCCTGATGTCTTACATCGACTGCTGTCTCCCTTCACCCACTTTTCTGTTGTCCATCCCCCTAGAGAGAGGTTATATGTAGATCATTGTGATTGATTTCCTCATTTCCCCTCCAACTTCTGCTTAGCTTCCTGGTATCTCTATTCTCATTAGTGGTCCTAAGGGGTGACATCTTTAAGATATTGAATTTTACTTGTTTTGTTTCTGATTTTAAAGGTATTGTTTTAAAGTTTTCACTCTTAAGTTTTCTACAAGTAGCATTTTTGTAGATATATTTTATCTGGTACAAAGTTTTACTTTCTTATAATGTGTTGATATCGTAAGTTCTGAAGTTTTCTAAATCTACTGATATGATCATGCTTTCTTCCCTTTAGTCCGTTAATGTGGAAAACTGCATTATAGAAATTTTGGTAACCAAGAGAAATTACTGAAACCCAAATGAAGGCTGAGCACGATAGTGGGACAAGAGGAAAGTAGAAGGAAATAGAGGAAAGAACCAGGAGGCAAAAGGTATTTATAGAGGTCTAAACACAGGCATATACATATGTAAATATATTTATATATTATGATGGGGAAATAGATCTACATGCATATATTTATAGGTTTAGTATTAAGGTAGCAGATGGACATTAGGCCTCCACTCAAGTACTTCCTCAATGCAAGAACACTTTGTTCTATTAAATTGGCACTCTATGACGCTTACCTTCCCGACACAATTGCTGAAGACACATGTGTGCATAAGCAAAAGTGGTGAAGAAAGCTGATGGTGCCTAGCTATCAAAAGGTATTAAAGGCTTGAAGGTAAAAAACAGCCATCTAGCTCAGAAGCAACAAAGTCCTCATGGAAAAAAGCACACCAGCCTGTGTGACCACGAGGTGTCCAAGGGATCAGGTATTGGGCATCAAAGAACAAAAAATCCTATCATTGTAAATGAGGAGGAGTGCAGTTTGGAGACCTAAAGCCCATCTGCAGGCAATTGGACATTTCTTTACAGAAGGGTCGTGGGGAGGGGACAAACCAGCCAGGGTGCAGTGTAGCAATGATGAAGCATATAACTTTCTTCTAGATCTTAGATGCTTCCTCTCCCCTCGCCCCCAATATCATGATCCCAATTCCACCTTACAAATCTGGCTAGACCAGAGGATGTACACTGGTACAGATAGGAACTGGAAACACAGGGAATCCAGGGCAGATGATCCCTTCAGGACCAGTGGTGAGAGTGGCGATACTGGGAGGGTGAAGGGAAGATAGGGTAAAAAGGGGGAACCGATGACAAGGATCTACATGTGACCTCCTCCCTGAGGGGCGGACAACAGAAAAGTGGGTGAAGAGAGACATCGGACAGTGTAAGATATGACAAAATAATAATAATTTATAAATTTTTTTTAAAATTATAATTTATAAATTATCAAGGGCTCATGAGGGATGGGAGAGCGGGGAGGGAGGGGAAAAATGAGGAACTGATACCAAGGGCTTAAGTAGAAAGTAAATGTTCTGAGACTAATGAGGGCAACAAATGTACAAATATGATTGACATACAATGGATGGATGGATGGACTGTGATGAGTTGTTCAAGCCCCCAGTAAAATGATTAAAAGAAGAAGAAATTTTGGTATTACGCTAACTTCATGTTCCTAAGGTTAAATTTATATGTATTTCCAGATTCAGGCTACTAATACTTTTTAAATACCTTTACATCTATTATCTTAAAGAATTAGTAGAAAAATGGTATGATCTGCTTTTTCAATTTGAGAATTTGACCTTAAATCTGCCTAAGATTGTTCTTTCTTTTTGGAAATATTTTTAAATGGTGGTTTGTTTTTTATTTATCTACATTGAACTATTCAGATCAGGTAATATTTTGAAATCTGGAGGATCCTGATCTTCCCATTTAATTGGCCTTTTTTTTTTTCTTGATAAACTCACCATTTTTTCCTTTTCTTCTTGAGCTTTTTCCTGTGTTTCAGCCAATTGCTGTTTCAGTTTTTCAATCTGTAGAAGATGGAAATATACAGTCAGGGACGTAAAGAAGTTGTTCTATGTTCTACCTCAACGGTATAGCCTAGTTTTCACATGACATTAAAAACCACTAGGCCTGGACAAAGGAGTCCTGGTGGTGTAGTGAATTACACATTGGACTGTTAACTGCAAGGTCAGTAGTTCGAACCCACAAACTGCTCTACAAAAGAAAGAAGAGGCTTTCTGCTTTGTAAAGATTTACAGTCTCAGAAGCAGTTCTATTCTTCCCTATCAGGTTGCCACCAGTTAGAATGGACTCAATGGCACTGAGGGTTGGCACAGGGGCACGGCTAAAGTAAGGAATGGCCAGGGACAATCTCTAAACTGCACACCCCCTCCCCAATTTCAAGATGGTGAGACATTTATAGCAGTGATGTGTCAGCAATAGCAGCTTTCCATCTTGTCCAGCTGCCCTTGCAGGCACTTTTCATGTGTGTGGCTCCTCAGAATGTGATCCTGTACTTCCCCAGTATACTCACAGCCGTTCATGCATTTATTTAGGGTTTTTTTTAATGAGTGCCCACTGTACACCAGGCACTGCACTAGGTACTAGGGATGGATTACTGAAAAACAAAAGG